TAATTTTTTACATATACTTCTCAAATATATAATTCTTTAAATATATTTTTTAAGATCAAATCTGAAATATATTAAAGAGTTTCTGAATCTTCACTTTTCAATGAAGAATAATAAAAAGAAATAGGTTTTCCCCTTTAAAAATGGGAAATTCCCCTTTAATGTGAAGCCACTGTATTGTTTTTACAAATTTTGAGAATTCTAGGCGACAGGAAGTTTGATATATTTACTGAACCGGTTTGAATTTTCTATCTTACTGTACATTCGTCACCAGTATTTCCATAGATACATCAATAACTTTTGCAAACAACATTTGTCAAAGCTTAAACTATATTCAGATATCTCATAGCATAACACCAATATAGAAAAACCATGAACTATCCCTATCAAACTACAACATTTCAAAAAAATCCCCAATATTCACCTACTTCCTAATTCTTATATTAATTCTACTTCCAAACCTAAAAGTTGTTACATTCCTATTACCCAAAACTCACCCCACTAACTCCTCAAACGACTTACATCCACCATCAATCCCCACATCTTCAAAAACCTCAACCTACCAAACGAACCATCAAACCAACCAGCTCAACGATCAACCAATAAACAAACCTCTCGAACCCCAAGAAAACCACCACAAACCCCGTAAACCCCTCGAAACCCTCAATTCCCAAAGCCATCTCGACCCATTCGAATGCGAAACTCCTCCGGAAGACCAGCGCATACGCGTGCATCCACCTTTCTTAATCACCGTCTCTAATCGGGCGTAGCTCGCTTCATCAATCTCTTCTCGCCGCGTCAAAGAGACTGGAAGTTGTATAGTTAATGAGGTCGAAGCGTAACGCTCGCGGGCCTACGAGCCGAGAGCGAGCGAGAGCGAGTTCGAGCAACGCCTAGGCAGAGAGGCGGAGCTTTCAAAGCACTGTCTTGTTAATTATTCGACGTTTGCTTTAGTTTAGACCGCGTAATCCGCGCATTATTCAGCAGCCGCACGAACGCCGGCTCGGTTATCAATAACATATGACGCGGATTCCACGGCCGATTTGAAATTACGCGTTTAACGAGGCTTAAATATTGCGCACACACGCGCGCACACGCTCATACACGCTGATACACATACGTACGGTACGTCACACTCGGTAATCTGCCGCGCGGATTTACGTCGGCCAGTCTGGCTCGTTCCGTTGATGATCGATAGTATTATATCGTATACACCCCGGGGTTCCTCGGTGTGCTTTGCTGATTACATTACGTCGAACGAAGACCGGACTCCGGCTTTCTCTCTGTTCATGGCCAGCGGCGCGACGCGGGGGCACCATTGTTATTCCGTGTGTAATCGCTGTCATCGACAGCGCACCGATATCGCTCGAGTGGAGCATATTGGGAAAAATTCCGCGGGTTACGCGTGTGGCTGGCTGGCCTAGGCTTAGAGAGGATCTGCTTGTGGGTCGTCAACGGTTAATTGAGGAGGAGTTAGCGGACGAATGATTTCGGCCAGCTGTTTTTGGGCTCGCGCGGCTAGCTTTGGTTAGCTTAGGGGATTTGGCTTAGGTGGCTGCTTGATTGCTGCAGACGCATTTTTCTGGGAATTCCGTTAGACAGTTGCGGAAGGAGCTAGGGAGAGTGTAGTTGAAGAATATTGAATTGGAAATGGTTTAGTTAGAGTTGAGGGTGGAAGATTTAGGATGACGCTGCTGGAGCCAAGAAGTTAGACGCTAGAGTTAGGGTATTGATGTTTCAGTTGTATAGTGAAAAATTGGCTTGGGGATTATATTTGAGTTTAGGGGGGATTTGGGCGGGGTTTGATTGTATAGATCGAGGATGAATGTAAGTTTGAGTGAGATAGTTATATTGTTTCGCTTGGAAAGTCTAGTTAAGGGATGATAGATAAGGTCTGATAGACCTAGTTAGGTGACAGATTTAAAGACTACCAATTGTAACCTAGATCGTGGCACTGTTTCTAGTGAACATCAAAAATACATTTGATAGATTATATGTGAGGGATTTGTAGACACTTTAGGGTACTTAGTTTGTAGCTGATGGTAGTTAATTTGTCATAGTATGTCAATGTTTCACATTAGTATCGTTTCGTGTAAAAAGGTATGATTGCAGTTATTAATTTTGCTACCATGTACTCAACCATTGGATGTATAAGCACAAACAGTTCAATTAATTTGAATAATTGATCAGTGTAATGTCTGCGACCCAGCTCCATATATATGTCTACCACCATCGAATTTTCATGCGCCCCATGAACACGAATTCCACGGGCCATTCGCTTTGTGGGTCGTTGAAATACCGCTCGAGACAGTGGTAGAATAGTGCAACTAATTTCTATGACGAGACGTTGCCTTCGGCATTCGATTAACGAACCGCCGTAAAGCACAAAGGTATTGATAATTAAAAGATCAGTCTTCCAGGAACACCCAATAAACGTTACACGTGCCACAATTAAAGCTAATGGAAATCAGTATTAGTATTCACGATTCACTGCCTGGTAAGAATACTTAGTGACACAACTGAACAAATAATACTGTCACATATGGACTCTGATATCAAATAATTAATAATTATTTTCAGTACGACTTACTTCCACGATAAACTAAGTAACAAAGCATTTACTTAAGACTTCTGTCACATTCAACGCTTCACAACCATTGAGAATTTACATTTCAGTCATAAATAATACAACTATCTAAATATTCTAACATAAATATTTTATTCTGTCTATTTCTACCATACCCTAAGTAACTTATAAATTTATTCAACACTCCCAAGACACTCGACGCCTAAAAACCATTAAAAGTGAACATTGCCATCATAAATTATTAAATAACACAACTATCCAAATAATACTCCAACAAAAATATTCTAATTCTAGATAATTAACAATCATCTTCAATACCATCTATTTTTACCGTACCTTAATTAACACATGAACCATCAACTCAAGCCTCCCAAGACACTCGACGCCTCAAAACCCATAAACACCCCAATGAAAGAAACGAACTGCATAATCCCCCATCAGCTCGACAAACGCACTCATCAATCTCCCCATTACACTTCGCGGAGCCTTACATCGCGACGCGTTGCGCTCCTTTACGACGCTACGTGATACCTTGACGCTTAGGTTTAAAGCGCAACGCGACGCCCGCGTTTCCCGTTACAGCCGTTTTAAGGTGCAAATTTACGAGGTGACGGTCGGGTCAACCCGGCGATCCGGCCCCGGTATAACTCCGCTCAATTATTCCTCATCGAAGCACCGCTCTTATGACCGCTGAAAAACGTACGGGACTTTTCCAACACGACCCCCGGCGAGCTCCGATTTGTCGCCGCCGAATCCTCCAGGATTTTACGAGGGAATTTTGAAGCACGGTGTCGTTTTCGTCTCCAGTTCCCTAAACGTCGCTTTCAGGAACCGTTCGCGAGCGGAAGAAACAATTTTGCCGGGACAAAGCGGCACCAGACCCTTCCTAGATCCTTTTCCTACTGCTCGGCCACCATTACCGGGGCCGATTCATACGTTTCGACGCGTGTAAACCACCCCTAAGGCAACCCTGGATTCCGCAGGCTCGTAAATTCGCGATGACTCACGCATCCCGACGCCATTCCGCGGGATATTGTCATGGGAAGCTGAACAGAAGGCTGCTCTGCCTCTTGACCGACAGTTTTGAAGAAGGAATTTTAGGGGTTGCGAGTGAAATGAGTTTTGTGGAATGAGTTTGATGATTGCAGACGGTTTGGTAGACAGTGTAGATACTGGGAGATTCTTTTGAACTGTAGGGAATATTTTATTTTTATTTTTGCAGGTGCTATTTGGTGAAGGGGACATTTGGTTTGATACTTGACCGACAGTTTTGAAGAGGAATTTTAGGGGTTGCCGGTGGAATGAGTTTTGTGGAATTAGTTTGGTGATTGCTAGTGATATGGTAGATACTGTGGATACTGGGAGAGTCTTTGAAACTGTAGGAAATATTTTATTTTGAGTTTTGAAGATGCTATTTGGTGAAGAGGACATTTGGTTTGATACTTGACCGATAGTTTTGAGGAGGAATTTTAGGGGTTGCGGGTGAAATGAGTTTTGTAGAATAAGTTTGTTAACTATTGGTAGTCTAGTAGATAACTTAGAAGTCTAAAAAGTCTTTGACTTTATTTTATTCGATGAACGGGACATTTTTATAGAACAATAAGGTGACAAAAAGCAGTATTTTTAGATTTTTCAAATAAAGAAGTTGAACATTCTCTTATTTTGATTATCTTTTCTAAATTCTTAGTATAGTTATTATATTAGTTTCAACTAAAATATTTTTAGTATAGTTAATAGTTAAGGAAGATTACGATATAATAGCATTGCAGATAGAGAAAAAACGACTCTTTGAACGAAAAATTGAATATTTCAAAGACCATTAAAGGCATATAAAAAATTCAAAATCGAATTCTCATGTTTTCAAATTGCCAATATCGTACTTCATTAAAGAACAGTCGAAAAATATAATTCCTACGAAATATTTATTCAAATATTTCCACGTTTTCTGATCAGAAAGTCGGAAGAAAATATCGAATAAATATTATTTACATAAATTCGCGGAAATTCCTCTTCAGAATCATATAAAATAATTGGAGTAACCGGATCGCCGAGCTACCAAATCGCTCCTCGCCACTTTGATTATTTCGAATCCCATGTCACTCGGGTATTCTCTCTGTCGGAAACGTTTTGGGAATCCTCGGATGCATATTGGCTCGCCTCGGAGAGACCGGAATAAAATCAACATCCCGCGGAATTGCTGGAACCGTGGAATTTCTCGGAGCACCGGGCTTTTTTCTGGAATTAGTATTTTCATGAAAATTAGTAACACAAGATGCGGTGGCCCTTCTTGCAGCCGGATGGCCCGGGAAAGATTACATTCTCGAGGCAAATGTTTATCTCCAGTCTAATTCGATTAAAACTGGCCATCTCTGTTCCACTGAAACTAAAACGTCTGTCTTCTCTCTCTCTGTTGCAGGAGGAACCGATGCACGTCGTGCTCCCTCGAAACATTAACACTCACCCCCGGGCGACCCATTGAACGTTCGGCAAAAATGTGAGTAACAATTCAATTTTATTCAAGATAAGTTTTATTTTTGTGTTTGGAGAATATTGTACGAATTATTTGTGAACAATCGCATATAGATTGAAACTACGTTTTCTTATAAATTGAAATATCAGAATTTTAGCAGTTTAGTGTAATATATTTTGCAGATGTTGCTATTAATGTGTGGTGATTGTTCAAGAAATTTACCTTTGTTTTAGAGGAAAGTCAAATTTTATTTGGTTGGATTGAAGAATGGAACTTGTTGGTTATTCTAAATTATTATATCCCAAATATTTCAAAGAGAAATCGGTAAACTTAATATTATTCAATTGCTTCAGTTTAGAATTAAATAGTATCTCTCTACTGTTAATGATCAACTTTTAAAAGAACTGCACAGCATAAACTTCCAAATTTGCGAAAAAGTCAACGAAGGGTTGAACTCCCGAAATCCCTGAGCAATCGGAACGACCTTAAGGCTCATTCATAAAAAGATGATTAATTAGTCCCGGGTAAAACGTTGATCCCTTCATTCCCGAAAACGTTATCGCGCAGAAAATTTCCGGCGCGCCGGCCGCGAGGTATGAATTTTCATCGGGAAGTCGGACGATAAATTTCCCCGGCGCCCGGCCATTATGTAGATAATCGCGCGACAGAATTTACGTACCGTGATGCCGACATTGTAGACACAGACAGTGGGAAAGGGTGGGAGGCAGGCGGGGAAACAACGAAAACGAAAATCGCGGCGTGGAATACATTTGCGAACCGCCTTTTTAAAGTTGTAATGTCCACCGCGCGTTATCCTTGCGCTCTCCCGTATGTATGGATGTATGCACGCGTATACAGGGTGGCTCGTTCGAATAAATCCACTCGAGTATCTTACTAATCATCGAGGATATAAAAATCCGTGTTAAACAACGTTTTCGTATACACAGTAATGAGCTTCATTAATTAGTTGAATTTTTGTTAGATGAATTTATTACTTCATAACCTAAAAATTGAACTGATCTTAACCAGAAGATTAATAGTAACTAGTATTCCCAACGTAACCTAAATCATCACTGAACTAGTTAACACGTTGACTGCATGACATCGATGACCGGAGCTTCTAAATTACTGAAGAACAATTACAATAAACTTGATTGTAAAAATATTTAGTAACATGAGTAGCTAGATCATAACGTAATATGACTACTGCAATGCTGAATCATTAATAATTATTTTCAATATAAAGATACAAGATACTCGAATGGTTCCATTTAAATGGATCACTCTGTTGAATGTTTAAAAAAATTATCAGCCAAGCATCAGGCTGTTCATAATAAATAATCCATCTCTGAAAACACCAAACTTTTATGGCACATTACTTTCGTGTCATCGACAATGTCGAAGATACTTTAGTGGATTCATTTAAATGGATCATCCTGTAGAATGTTTAAAAAAATTATCAGCCAAGCATCACGCTACACATAATAAATAATTCGTCCCTTAAAACTCCAAACTTTTATGGTACATTATTTTCAAATCATCGATAATGTCGAAGATACTCCAGTGGGTCCATTTAAATGGGTCACCCTGTAGAAAGCCTAAAGGAAATGTCTGCCAGACGCCAGGCGAACGTGATATCCGAAGTCACTCACGAATTCATGGGATCCCTTTCTTCTTTGTTTTCCCCTGCCCCCGGTCGCGACTCGGTAACACGCACACACAAGCACGCGTACCGATTCGGTAATGTTCCCGAGGATTTCCCGGCAATCTCGGCCCGCTTTCCTCCAAATCTCCCGGCAATGAGCCGCGTGATGCAACCCCTTCCCTTTTTTTCCCGTTTCCCTTCCTCGTTCTCTTTTTTCTTGCCCTTTTCTTATCCCTTCTTCTCCAGCGTGACGGTCGCGAGTTGAATTTCGGATAGAAGTTCGGGGCTTGAGAAATGGCAAATTGAGCGTAGATGAAGCGCGTGGGATCTGTGCGTGTCGTTATCCTGGTTGGGATTGGCTTCAGATCGATTTGAATTTTTGGCGATCTAGCTGGCTTTAGAGATGGCAGTTGCCTGTATGAGATTTGAAATTGTTTCGTTCGCTTTTCCGGTTAGGTTAGGTTAGGATCGGTTCGATTTTTAGGTTAGGAAGTAATGGATACGTTGTAGACGGAGATCAAACTCGGTTAGAGATGAATAAGATTCGATATATTTATTGCTGTTGACGTTAAGAAATATTTACACGTGATTTACAGCTTCAAAAAGTAACTCTTCATTATGTTAGGTCTAAATAAGTTCGAACTTTAGGTTATGAAACAGCAACAATCAAATCAACCGCGAAATTAATTGAAGCTAATTATATTTGGCACGCAGATGTAATTGCATTGAACTAATTTCAAACTCGCCGTTTAATTAAATCTGATTCACATGAACTATTAGATTAGAAAACGTCGACGTCTCGGTTCAAATAAGTGCACACTATATATCAATACTTTTCTGTCGGTCTCCAAACTAAATTCGTCTTACTCAATTTGAAATATAGAAGATGCAAACTCCATTTATCTCCTTCCGTCTCGATTTCCCCGCACACACCAGAAACCCATCAGCCAACGGAATCCTTAGCTTTCGCAAAATTGCAATTCGGTGGAAAATTAATTCTAAAAGCACCGAACATATTCGGGTCCATTGTTTCCTTGGCACAGAATTTACTTCTGTGCTGCCCCCATGGCTAAAATGCTGGTTCCCGATATTTTACCGTGGCACCGCCCCTCAATCAGAACAAAGGGATTCCGGTTGTCCGAAACTTGCGTACGTTCGGAGTAATCCGCATAAATTCCTGGTAACAGTCGCGTTTCCCATCCCGGGTAACAGAGAGCGCGCGAGAGAGAGGAACACGGAGAAAGAGGATATTCGTACGGGGAACTGGAAGAAATTGGTAAGAAGAGAAGCGAGTTCGGCTGGTGGTCCCAGCGCACGTATACCAGGAGGATTTAGGTCAACAATGTGGAGCCCCGTGGATATAGCAGCGGCGAATAGACTGCCGTAACCGATTGAAAGTATTCTACTCGATTTGGCCGCGATTGCGCGGAATCTCCCGAGTGTGGTAATGCATCCACCTTCTTTACCGCCGGTTACGTGTAACAGGATAATCGTCATGGCGACCCAGATCCCGGAATCCCCCGAGCTCTCTCCTACTTCCGTTAAATGTAGCTTGACGAAAAGCGCCCTGGGTTCTGTAAACAGGATCCTGTTTTCTTGCGTCGAACTGCCATTGGAAATTGCTGTCGCTGGATGGTTGATTCCGGGGTGATCCCAGTTTCGGGAGTTTATAGACCTAGTTCCGAACCCGAACCTAACCTAATAGCGACTGGCCTGAACTGACCTAACTGGAGTGGAGGGATTTGGGTTCTGTGGACTGGAGTTTGATTAATTGTGTATGACTGGAGATTACCGTTGCTGATCATTACTGTAGACTATTCACGGACTTCATTTCTGAGTGGGCTTGGTTGCAGATGTAACTTAGTTTTGGATTGAGTTAAGGGGATGGCGATACTGCCACTTGGTTCAGTAGAACGTGATAGATTTTGATGGTGTGGGTTTATTGATTGGGTGTTTTGCTATGTAGCTATTGTCTGACGGTGAGAAATTGAGTTGTTAATTTAGACTTAACATACTTGGTCTGACTAAGTCTTTAAATTTAATCTTTGATTTAATATATCCACTTAGATGCCTAAAATTATTATTGAATAGTGTCTTAGCATTTCCTCTGACTCACAAATTTTTCATTCAGATCCAACCCAGCACTAACCTAACCTATACCTCCCTAAACTTCCTCCAAGACTCCTAACTCAATAATATCTAAGACTTCGTCCAAACCCCATACAGAATTACTAAACTTCAGTTAAGAGGATAGAGACACTGGTACTTAGTTCTGTAAAACGTGATACATTTTGACGTTATGAGTTTATTGACTGGATATTCTGTAATGTGGCCCTTGTAAAGGGTGAGCAATTAAGTTGTTAATCTAGACTTAACACACTTGGCCTGCCTTAGTCTTTAAATCTAATCTCTGATGTAATCTATCCATTAAAACTCCTCAGGTGATTATTTAATATTGTCTTAGCATTTCTCCTAAGCAAACAAATTTTTCATTCAATCCCAGACCAATATTGTGAGTTTACTGATTGTATTTTGTTATGTTCCCTTGTCTAAGAGTGAACAATTGAGTTATTAACCTAGACTCGACATACTTGGCCTGCCTAAGTCTAAATCTAATCTTTCATCTATCCACTGAAATGCCTACAGTGATTATTCAAACAGTATCGTAGCCTTTTCCCTAATCTACAAATTTTTCATTGAATCGCAGCTCAGCACTAACCTACCCCATACCTCCCCAAACTTCCTCGAAGTCTTTCCTAACCCAATAACACCCAAGACACCGTGCAAACCTCATACAGAATTACAAAAACACACATCTCCGGAACACATCCAATTAAGTCGGAGCATGTTGAAACACCCAAATAGCGGTGTTAGCTAACTTCGCGACTCGGCGTGGCCGTGCCGGATTTCGACACGTGCGCCGGTCCGGGGTCTGCCTTTGAAGTAGTCGTAAAAGCTGCAACTACTCCGCTCACAGTTTGAAACGTTTTAGCGGGCGAATTGTAAAGCGAAGACTGTTACGTGTACTTAATCTGTGCCCGGACTGTAAAACGTATCCGGGTGGCGGCCATTGTGACCCGTGGCGCCGCGCGTTAAACATCTTAAAATACCTCTATTCCGGCAGCGCACGATCGTTCCCTCATCTGAAATTATTTTTCCCGGCCAACTTCTGCCCCGCCCAACACTCATCCTCCTAAACGAGGTCTCCCACACCGCGCCGATTAACCCCTGCGCAATGAACGCGTTCTTAACTATGGAAAAAAAGGGGAGCAGCAGGGGAGTCAGGTCAGCCACTTGAATCTGGAGTATTCTTTTCTGTAGAAAAAGCCTCGCAGTCGTAAGACATCGTCAAATGACAGCGATATTAATTCTAGGAGGA